GAACAGACGAATACGGAAATTAAACACACGTGTAACCTCTATACGGAGATTCTTACGATCGCGCTTACTTCAAAAGATAAATCCAGTTTCACGAGCAATACGGGCTAATTTCACGACAGGCATCCTAAGCCGACTATATTGCATCCGCGAAATAATAATAAAGTATAAATGGATCAAGTTTACGGTTCACCGTGCATGCGAGACCCGCAAGTATGCACTTTATCGGTAGTTCCACGATCTTTATGAGGTTGCCCGCACTACGAGGAAGAATGTGCATCTCTTTACTTTAACCGTACTGCCAATATCTTGAAACTGATTTCAAGAGAATTTTGTGTTAAAAGAAAAAAAAAAAAAAAAAAAAAGATCGACGTCTTTTCGTTCGATACTCCTTTTTTTTTCGAGAACGATCCTTGAATTTTAATTTCGCGTGACGTTAGATCACGACGACCCACTAATGGCCCAACGAAAATGTCCCTCCTGACGGCATAACGCAACGTGAAACAGTAGGCGGTCCGGGTAATGCGTCTTGCCACCCTCGGACAGAAAAGCCCGACCACCGTCATCAATCAGGCTCGCATCGCGCCAACTTATGTAGTATTTATTTTCATTAAATATTAGTCACTCACGCTACCGAGCTACGTTTCTTTCTTTCCTCGTCGGCTCAAAGAATATTATATTTTCTCTCTCTTTGAAAATTAATCGGGAAGGATTAACAACGGGGCCGTAAATATCGACGAAATAAACAAATCGTATGTAATATTAAATAATAAATTCGATATTGATTGAAATCGAAATTCAATATTACCTTCGTGAAGATATATTACAATTTTTAATTAAGTTGAAATCTCGAAACAAGAATATCATATACCTATAACGAATATTCAAACTTCCTGACATACTTCTCTATAATAAATATAGAGAATACAAAAACATTTTCAATAATCAATTGTTATTTCGTTTTAACAGCTGCGTCTCGATTTCTAATTAATTTTCCATTGATTTTCAACTGATCTAGAGGAAAACTTAGATGGCAAACTTAAAATGATTTTGTTCTTAAAGATCTGTTCGTACCGTCTGACCACTGGTTATCCGTTTCTACTTGCCGCACGCGACACGGAGTCGGAAAATTCGTGATACAATTCTTATCGCGATCGAATGGAAAAGATTCATCACGAAACGTACGAGAGGACGCACGACGAATGATAAATTAAGTTTTCATCCGTGAAATCGGTTTATCCCTCGGACGGATCGTCTCAATAAGTCTCGAAAGAAAAACGTTATCTCGCTTCGAGGCGATTCCAAGCATTTTTCCGCGAAGCGAGTCGAACTATTCTTCAATGGCGTGCTGAAAGCTACTTCTATATATCTTAGAGTCTTGGGCAGATCCCGCCGCTTGCCTTGATGGCAAGCTCAATTTATATCAGCGTCCGTTGAAACCCCCTTTACGAGGTCTCGCCGCCTCTTCCACCTCTTAAACCTCACCCTAACCTCAGCTCACCCCTGACTCCCGGCCGGCCGAACCTTGCTCCTTGCCACCTTTGGAACCCCCCTGAGACCTCGAAAACTCTTTCCTCGGGTTAAACTAAGCTATTCGCGATCGTGAGTCGAAGAAATTCAAAAAAAAAAGGAAGAAAAGAAATCCCGCTTTCCAACGTTTAAAGATCTTTAATTAAAATATTCCTTTTTATCCGATGACGATATCATATTTGTATCAATAAAGATTCAATTTACGAGGGTCGACTTCTCCAACCAACTTTTCGCTTCGCTCGTGAATTCGCACAGTCTACACGATGAATCCCAAACAAGGGTAATCGTTTATGCAAATTCCTCTGTCAACTTGGTAGGCGGCCGGACTGTCGGATAGGGAAAAGGTAAATGTCCGTGGATAAAAAGCATAATTAACAACATATAGGAATATCGTAACGAATTTCGATGCTCGTTTCTTCAACCCACTTTCGTATATTCGAAAAATTCGAAACGAAAGAAAAATACGTAATGGAAATTGTCTCTGAATGCTGAAACGTGTACGATGATTTTGATCGAATCTTTTCAATCGTTCGTTCGATCTCGGCCATCATCAGCAATCGATGCTGGTTATTAGAAAGCGTTTACGTTCATTTTCTAACCTCGACGTGATTCCAGGTGTTTCCTTGTGAACAGCTGGCGTAGCGCACGCGCCTCCGCAACGGTGATGCGGTGATTGATCAATTTTTAAAAAGCAATGTTCTTAATTGGCCCACCGTCCCGTCTCGAACTGAGGCATTATGCTCACGAAAGATATGAGTGAAGCTTGTAAACCTTAGTCATCGAAAGGTGTGTTCTACGATTCGATCCATCCAGTTACCTTGTCGGAAGCAGACCCTTTGCCATTCGTCGCTCTCTCCATGCGTTTCAACAATCGATCGTTCGATTTTAATTTTTGTTAATATTTCTACACACGTTCATATTTTTTTTTTCGTTATCTTGAGATTTTTGATACGGTTAGAACGATAGCTATTCCACGATTATATTAGGTACAGCACGTAGAACTGTGATACAATCAATTTGACGTCCATTAATAGCGTGTGATTTTTAAGACACGTGAATTTAATGATCGCTGATCTATCATACTAGGTATGCAATTAGTACGTGAACCATTCGCGCTAACCACCTTTGTCCGCGTGTCATCATAGAGAACGATAGTTTCATTCCTGTCATAGCGCGTTTCGTATCATGATATATGTATAATTAACACAATTTCATAGATATCGGTGATCATCGAAACCGATGTGGTTGCGCTTTGCGTAACGTAAACGTAGAACGATGATGATGATTATTAACAATGGTACAATAGTGATTTCGTGATTGAATAAAATTGAAGCAAAAGATGTCGTTCGATCGCCTGTATTCCCTAAATAATAAGATAAAGTATCGTGGTAATCATCGTAATTATCCATGTCCAAAAAATCCGAAGAATCATATATTATAGTTGGTCACTTCCAAAAGGACGACGTTTCGTAACAGTGTGTTTCGTACGTGGAAAACTACGACGAGATGTCGCAATCCAGATGACAGGATGGAATAACGATGGAAAAGTTGGATCGATTTGAACGTCGTATTGAAACATCTCGGTGATCGTCCGGTGTTGAGCGTCCAATATAGTCGACGAAAGCTCTCGTTTCGCGTACAGTTATTTCGTAACAGGAGTCATTAGCATTCACCTGCGTTAATTAACGGAAGTTCTGGCGCGCGTATATGCGGGATGCATCAGCCATGCGTAAGGGGAGGGCAAGGGGCTGTAGGGGGCTAGGGTGATAATGCGCGATGTATACGACGCACAGTCCCTTGTGCTTTTTCCCTGCTTTCGTAGTTTGTATCGTCGATGCTCGCGTGGCGTGTAACGGCAAATTATCCACGGGCTTTTAGTCGTGGTCGGCGGTGTAGCTGTAGCGTGAAATCGGCGCAACCACACCCACGGATACCGGCAAGAAACCGAAGCGACGACGACGAAAAGGGATCGACGCGCAAAGGGGGAAGAGATTTTGCATATTCTCCGCGTTAGACTCGTTCAGAGGCGGAGGGGGAACGAAATCTTTCCTCGGTTTTCAAAGGATTCCGGCCGTCTTCTCGTGCTACGTTACGACAATTACCATGTGTGAGATTTAGATGGATAGTATTATCGTGAAACGCTGCGCCAATGGGTGATCTATAGACACCGATTCGATCCCAATGCACTTAACACCCATCCAGCTCTAATGCTATTCTCTCGTCACGAGCGTTCATCCTTGAGTTGCAACAGACGTGCCAGATGTTCCTAAGCTTCGTCAAATGAAGCAAGATATTTCGAGAATAATACGTATCCCATCGATCGAAGAATATTACGATAAATGCGAATAAAGAAAAAAAGCAAGTAACATTCTATCGAAAATGTTTCCATAAACTCCGACGCGCATTCGGATCCTTTCGGGGTAATTCGAAGCCTGCACTTCGTCTTCGTATTGTTTCAAAGTGCACACAGATAGCGCGCGTCGCTGCTGCCGCTCGGTTATTATCATCCCAAATAATAACCAACTTCTTCCAAAGTTGGCGCGAACCCATGTGTCGGATCCGCGCGACACCTTACCACTTTTCCTTCCTCGCCTAAAACTTGGCGATAAACCGGCTTCGTTGGAGAAATCCGGCGATCGCTTTCTGGCAATACCTGGAGTACCCTGGAGCGTGTAAATCCCATATATCCAATTAGATTCGTATAATCCCTACATGTTAGCAGAGGGTGTCTCCACCCCGTCGGGTTGGCCGACTGTTTCGTTCTCTGTTCCCGCCGAGAGCAGTCTCGGTTGCTCCCGCAGGTAACGCGTTGCTACGTGTGCATCGGAGGCGCAAGCGCGCTCTAATGCTAAAGTACTAATTTATGGCCACATATGAGATGGCTGTAGCGCGCTTTACCGTGCCAGGAAAGGGACTGTAGTCCGTGGAACCGTGGGGAGGAGGGGTGGCTGGTGGGGATGTAGGACGAGGGTATATCGGAGAGTGGTACAGGGGTGGGCTTTGCATGCGATATCAATAAATCAAGTCCCCGGGACCCCGCCAGCTTAGGGGGCCACTACGTGGCCAGAATCAACAGCTCATAACGTCGGCTAATAGCTACTCGCCGTGGGGTCGAAGATATTGTCGTAACGCCCAGGGACATCTTAACGTCTTGCGCCGAATTTGCTTTCGGCCGGCCGTGAAAGAATCGGCTGCGGGAAGAGGAGAATGCCGTGATTCGATGCCGTGTCGCTCGTTCGAGGAAGGAGCTAGTTTCGTAACTGTGAACGAGGGAGAAGAGAGGTTTCGATATTCGCTCGAATTGGATCTTCGACGATTTTCGTGATTCGCGCGAATAGCTTATTGCATTAGAGTTACGTACGTATGAAATGAATAGAGTTTTTTAAGAGTACTTGCTTGTAACTTACGATCGATGATGCAGTTGTAATTTCAACTCGTTGAATTAATTTTAATTTCAATGCGCATGATTCCAGGTGTGGTTTCAAAATCGTCGAGCAAAGTGGAAAAAACGGAAGAAGTGCGGCCCAGTTTTTCGTTCCCCACCGGGTCCGTTGCTGCCATCGCACGGCTTACCCCCGTTTGGACCGATGAGCTCTGATCTCTGTGGTGCTGGTATGTTTAGCGGACCTCCTGAAAGATGGACAATGGGAACAGGTTAGTAAAAGATAATTTTATAATTATATCTTGGTAAACGTGAGGGAATGATCAACGTTATGTCTGTTTAAATTTACAATTAAGATCGATCGAATCATCCGCGTTCATTTTCTGTTCGTTTTTATGGTAAAATCTTGCGAAAAAAAGAATGGATCGCGAGTCGATTATTAAATCTACGGGCGACAAATTGCCCGCTTTTACATTAATTACGTTCGATTCGTCGTGTCATCTCGAATACGCATAATCTTATTATCAGCGTTTCATTTTTCGTTTTTACACGCGCGGTTTCACACGCGGGGGAGAATACGGTGTCTTGAATAATCGGACAGTAGACGAAGTCTCGATAGTATTCCACTTCTAATTTAATCTCGCGTGTCCATTGTTTCGAACGGATTGAATTGCCCGTATTGGTTTTACAGGCATCCGCCATGTCATATTTCTTTTCTATCTCGCGTTCTTTCTCTCGATCGACAAAATCTCTCGTCATCCTTTACAGATACGAGTCTCGAATCTGAGCGGATGTCTAATTAAATCCGGTTGTTTCACAGGTCTTGGACAACTGGGACAAGGAGGAATGGGAATGAGTGGTTTTGGCCAAAGTTTAGGACAACTTGGTCAGCAAAGTACGGGGAGCCTCGGCTCGAGCTTGGGTCTTGGTAATTCTGGACTCCCGATCAGCAGTCCGTCGCAAGCCGTCTATCAAGCCAGTTATGGACTGAATTCCCTTGGTAAGTTAATCTTATACATGGATTAACGCAACTTAATCCTCAAGCCAACGAGGAATTCTTTGAAATCGAGTTTACAAGCTTCTCGTATAATTTTATCTAACTCGAGGTGTTGCGTTATTATCTTGTTATTAGAAATTAAAAACGTAAAGTAAAAACGATATATTCACACGATATTATTTCAAGAATCAAAAGAAGGGATCACGGTGTTTAAGCAACTTTAAATAACGACTCAACGTTTTACAACTCGTGATCCTATGAGGCCGTTGAGTATTCCAGGGATAATAAAGTTTTATGCGTTAGTCTTTAAAACGTGATTTAGTCTGGCTTCGATCCGCAAACCGTTCTTTTAGGAGAGGAATATTTTCTATCTCCGAAAAAGAGGCGAAACGTTAACGTGGCGGACAAACGCAGACGCTTATAGGCGGGCCGATAATCGTCTTGCCAAACTTTTGGACCGTGGCCCTCTAAAAAAGACGATGTGCAAACAGTATCGGACAGAACCCGGTACCTCTTTGACGAAGTCGTTAAACGTTACGGTGCATTATCGCTCCAAGGGGTTATGCGCCTGCATGTAAGGAATTTGAGACAGAAACATAAACTCCGTCCTCTCGTCTGTTTACGCAGGCAAACTTCGAGCCTGGTCTCGCACCTAGGTGCGAGATCTTTCGCTGTATGTTTACCATAACATCCCGATGCAACCTGTCTTGGTTGAGTTACGCTTCAGCTTATCCAAAGACCTTGTACCTTCACAAGACGAGACGTGTGTGAAATTCTTTGTCTCACGAAATCCTGCCCGTCGTACGAGTTCGGTCTTTCTCTTCGAATATACGAATGATACGGTCGAAAGGTTTTAAGAGAACATAGGCGCGAACGATCCGAAGAAATGGAAAAGACGAGTCCAACGATTCGACCAGTCTCCTCCTCTCGTTTTCCACCAGAATGTGATGCGTAGTGACTGGAAGAGAAAGAAGAAGGTTTTTTTAAAAAAATGCGCATAAAGGATGATTTCTTGTGATCTCAGAGTTCGTTAAGGGGAATATTCTAAAAATTCTAAAGGGAAATTGTTATGAGAAATGTTTATTGGAAATGATTCGTAATTCGTTGAAGAAATTCTACTATACACCGTCTTTTTCAATTATCCGCTTTTATAATTCGATCAATAATTCATACTTAAACGTATCATATCGAATGTAGTCGTCGTACCAAATGTATATTGACACGTATAAATGGATTAATCCCGACTGATATAACTGGATCGTTATTCCCTGAGGTCAACAACTCTTAAGATTAATTTTTTCAACGCAGACTTTTTTTCGATAGTTTCTCTGCAGAGAAAATTTTTCTATTTCTATAATCCGCTTATTCATAAATTACTTCTTCAGCGATATCGAATAACAATTGAAAAGTACTATTTGTAATAGTAAAAGGCAGTAATGTTATATAAATGGATTCGAAAGAGAAGTCGATGAAAAAAAGTTTAAAATCGGATATTTTATAAAGTTTTCAAAAGAAATCTCGTCTATTTCATTTCGCGTAGTGCACTTGCAATATCGTTTTTTTTCTATCCAATAATCAATTTAACAGTTTATTCTATATTTACTCTCGACGCTAGACTCTTCAAACTGAGGAGGCATACCCTTATCGGATCGATGAAATTCTTGAAATTGGAAAGATAAGGGGCGTTAAATCGTGTGACGAAATTGCCATTGGACGTAACATAATTTCACAATTGTACGCATTTACGTGAGCGTGTATGAAACGCGAACACGTACCTGTGTACATACGTAACACGTACAAGGTGTCAATTATCACGTATTATCGCCGCGGGGCAGGTAGCGTCAACCGAAAGGAGAGGAAAAAAAAAAGAAAAAAATGCCGTTCCACAGGCGTAATTCATCGTCCGTGTGATTCGTGTGATCTCGGTTTAAGGTGGATGCCAATATTGTAGTTCGAAGTTGGCCGCAGTCAGTTATCCGCTTTTACTTGTCGGTAATGCCTAGGGCAAACACCTTTTAGAGAAACGTCTTATTTTTTTGGTTTTCGATGATGATTAGCATCGAACGGTAGCGTGGTCGAAGTTTGCCGGTTTTCAAGTCGATTACGGAGCTCTATTTTGTTTATTCTCGTCTACCAGCCAGTGGACGAAAGAACGTCTATGAGGTGTGAATTAACGTGGCCGAAAATGCCCGATTTTCGAGTCACGCGCGACCCCCCGAGTTATTTCTGAGGATGTAACAACGAGCCATTTCCACGAACAAGATTTGCTTTTTAAATCATTTCTTTTTTTTTTTTTTTTTTTTTTTTTGTTTGTTTCCCGAGATAACGAAGAAGAACGAGTTAAAGAACTTTTCAATAATGGGAAAGATTGACAGAATAACTCACGACACGTTGTTTCAAACTTTTACGAAACAAAGATGTTTCATTATTCCATTCGTTGTCGAATTGTCGACATTCGAGATGATAAAGAGACGTTGTAGAAATCACGTCCTTCGATGCCATTAGCTATTTTATTCTTCATCGCTGAAAAGGATGGATAGTCCTTCGCAAACTTGTACTTCCACCGCAATACAGCCATAAAAGGATCCCTTTTCCCCGTTGTCCCCCCGGCAAGCCCGCCACCATCGAGGAAAGGCGGAAACGACTTTACGACACCCAGTAGCGCACCCCACGCACTTTGTGAACCTACCGTATTAATATCTCTCCTTGGAAGGGAAGGAAACGTTCTCTCGCGCACCTGCGTTATCATACCTGTAAATTGCCTGTGTTTCGCTACTTGGTCCGTGTAATAATAACAAATTTTAAACAGACTATTCGACGCGCGACTGGATATAATCGAATAATCTATACGCGAAGCTTAACGACGTTCGTTTCTCCTCTTATTTCCTTATGATACGTGATAAACTTATTTGCATGCAATCGAAAAAAAGGGTGAAAAAAGAGAAGCAATCTTTATACATATGTGTATACTCTAACTTTCAGGGGGTGTACACGTGTCTGCGTCCCGAGGCTCGCCTCCAGGGGGGTCCAGCGTGGGCGGTGGTCAGGGTGGTGGTCTAGGATCGGCCTTGAACTGCGGGCAGGGCTCGCCTGGGACGACTTCCGGGAGCGGAGGCGGTGGAGGTGGTGTTTCCTGCGTGGCTGCCGATGTGAACGCGACCGAGGCGTCGGATTGGAGAGGCGCGCACAGCATCGCGGCGCTCAGGCGTCGCGCCTCGGATGCATCGCAGCAATACAGTCCACAGCCACCGCCACCACCCGCAGGACCTCCCCAATATGCCCAGGACATGGAGTACAATTCCGTTTACTGAGGCCCAGCGAGTTTCGCTCTTAATTCTACGATAAATCCTATCGGGGAAATGTTTCAAGGATTCCCTTCGTGGATGGTACCGAGCGGTCAACATGCAGGGTAGCGGGTCGGAAATAACGAGAGAAGAAAGGACACGTTGTTCTACGATATTTCTCTCTAACTCGTGATTGTCACCAACAGAGATTTGCCACGACATATGTACAATTTTAATTTTCAGCGATTTCAATGATTGAACGAATATTCGTGGCAAGGGATTCTGTCCATCGATACCATCGAGTTGTTACGTTATTTACATTCTCGAGCTACGTGTATGGTTAAAGAAGAAAAAGTTTAACGATAGATTTTGTTGTTACTGGATATATTGAACGTATCGAAATGAATTAGAAGTATTATAGAGCAACAGAGACGTGTGAAAAATTCATCACTGATAGAAAATAAATAAAGAAGATAAAATAAGCTGCGACAACAACGAATTTCGATTATTTTCTATAGTGATAACAAAAAGACGTGCAGTCTCAACATTGGTTTTCATCATTGCTTTGGCTGGTCAATTTACAATCACGGATAGGAGAGTGACTTTATAGAATTTTTATCGGTTTCACCAGTGATAATAAGTCACGCTGATGTCCCTTTCTTCTGCCAACGATACGTGTAATCGTGATATTCGGGTAATGAAAACAATGAGTCGTTAAATTATATGAATTAATCAAGAAACATTGAGAAAATCCTTAAAAACGTGAATGATAAAAGTGAGAGAATAATAAAAGGAGAAGGCTTCGTTAATTAAAAATGCATTAGTGAGTTCTTCAAGAGGATTCGTGTCACGTTGAAGTTGTGCAACGCTGAAAAAAAAAAAAAGTGGTTACTTCATAATATACATATATTAACTTTATCATGGATATTGGTCGAACGATTTGCTACGTTCCATGCATTTGTAACATGACTGATTCCAAATTTAAAATGTATACACCGATAATTCACCATCGTTCTTACAATTGAACCGAATGTTTAATTTTATCGATATTTTATAACCGCTTACTGCGCGTTTATTTCGTTAATTTTTTCACGAATTACTCGCAAATATTTAGTCGAAATCTAAATAAATTATCTAAAAAAGAGAGTTCGTTTTAGAATTCAGAAATATTATTTTGCATTTTATGTTTTTTCAAAGGAATCAATAAATTCTGGCACCGCTGCTCGGTGTAACGAAAAAGTATACGACAAGTTATTATAATATTATGTATGGCATTGTAAATATAGTAAAAAAATTAATGTAACAACTATGATCGATTATAATTATTACTATTAAAATTAATATTATCACTGATTCAACTTTTTCAAAAAAATTTATTTCGATTTGTTTATGATTTCCTTTACATATTTTCAAAAACCAAAGCAAAAATAATTTTCTGAAAATTTAATTTACTTGAACTTGATCTTATTTTAAGAGAAATAAGAAAGAGAACCCGATAGCTTTAAACTTTAATAATGAAAAAATGACAAATTATATATGTATAAGTTAAATCGCAAAAAGAAATGAAGTTAACCATTCTTCGGTTCGGTTTTATACTTCGAACGCAGACTGGTTTGATTTCTGAGATGTCAAAATATAAGTAAATGCTCGAGAGAAGACAAGTGTATTGAACAAGGAATTTTCACTTGCTTTAAAATGACCAATATGTGTGTGTAATGTTGAATCTTGCATGAGAGGAACAATACTTTGAGTAATTAAAATGCAAGTTGGCACTTAACACATATTGCATTTCCCGAATAATCTTCTAGAATGCTACAAAAATATAAATTGTTTTGTTGTTGTACACCAGAACATAAGATTTTGTAAATAGAATATACGTCTAATATTAATAATAATTGAATATTGTAAGCGAACACGATATCCCATTTACATACGCGAGTATACTTGGACATTGTGATATTTTAGGCCCGCTGTTCCATTTTTTTTTTTTTTCAACAGCGACAAGCCATGTATATGATATTGCAAAAAAAATAATAAACAGTACCATAATAGTGATCGCGAGCGATAACGAATGTCGATTATTCTAGTTACGAATTTATGGTAGACTTAGGTAAAAGTTAGTGATAAATATGAAATGAACGATATGCAATTGTCAGTGTATTACTACGAAACGTATACGATTTTTAATGTACAAAAAAAATAGTATAACAAGACGACGATGTTTTTTCGAAATTTCATCCTGCTGGTACGATTTGTGTTCGGGATGAAGTAACTTATATTCGAATTGATCCTAAGCGATTCTTTCATTTTCTTCTTGTCCTGATTTTTTTTTTCTTTTTTTTTTTTTTTTTTAGAAATATTTTCTACACGTTACTGACTTGCACATTTTTATACATATTTAAGTAAGATTAAACACTTACATATAACATTATATTTTCAAATTATCTAGCGAAATTACATTATGTCTTTCGTTGAATATGCGAAAGATATAATATTTATTTATCAGTTGCGTGTGTGGAAATAAAATAATTTCACGAATCCAAAGTGTTATGCTTGCTAACAATTGAAACACTTGCGTAATATTTTGCAATATCATAATCAATTACACATTTCGCGTGAACATTATTTTTCTTTTTTTCTCGGCTCGTACGTTTTACAAGCAATGAAATATATTTGATAGAATATGTCGCAAAAAAATGGACTGATCTTATGCATCTTTAACACAAATCATTAATCGTCAATGACCTTAATTAGTGATAAATAGAAAAATTTTAATTTTTATCGTTGTATAGTTGTGTATAGAAGACAACTAAGTGTGTAAAATAAATCATTATCAAAAAATCAACGTTTTTATATATTTTTAATAATTTTGTTGAACGAATTTTGACTAACAATCAAAAAATTTGTACTGGAATACTCTCAAAAGTATAAACATCATATTTTTATTTGAAAATATATACATTTCTATATTCATGAATACATATATTATATTTGTTGTAATTATATATAAAAATATTGATACAATACAATAGTCAAAAAAATATAGATTAAAATAAAAAAATAATTTAATATTTAGAATTAAATAGAAAAGATAGAATATAATGTTATGCACAATATCCAAAATTAGTATAATCAAAGATGAATCTAGCAAGAGATATTTTTTCATATAAAAATAAGTCCAAAAAAGAATAAATATTTTTTCTTTGCTTAAAATCTTTATTATTAAAAAAATTAAGATGTACACGCATGATAAATTTTAAAATTTGATTTTTTCAAAAAACAATATTTAAAAAAAAAATTTATTCTATTATTTTTATTTATTTATTATTATTTTTATTTATATATTTTTTGCTTTTATATACAGAATAATGTTATATTTTTTCATTTTCAATTAATTAATTTTTATAATAGTCAAATTCTTGTATTTGAAAAGCTCTTAAATATAATTTATTTTAAAATAAAACTAAAAAATGAAACTAAAAACGAAAAAAATTTCATTCTTTCTTTTCGACTCATTTTTATATATAAAATCATCTCTTATCCACTTATATTCCTATCCTATTATCAGACACCTTATATATGAGTATTATGTAAATATTAATACATTTAAAAATATTAAATGCAATTTCAGGTACTAGAAAAATATTGTTTTTATCGAACACATTTGAACAACTGAATATTTATAAATATTAATTAATTTCAAAAATTTAAAACAAAATATTAATAAATCTTTCATATAAAAAAAAAATAAAAAAATAATTATATTAAGAAATATTATAAGTGTTGTTATCTATCTTATATGTTTTAAAAGCGATATGTTAATAATTTGTAATAAATATATGATTATACAATATAATTCGTAAATAGATATTGATATTCAATACATATAGAATAAATTTGGTCATTTTTCAATTTATAAGGCCATTATTATCAGGTCATTATTATTATAATATTGAGATAAATATTCTCCAATTTATTTTTTTTAATAATATAAAAGAATGATCTAATATAACATCAAATGTGTTCGAAATAAAAAAATCTTTAATCTTAATAATGATTATGTTTTATGTCTTATTTATCTTTATAAAAAAATTTGAATTCTTATATTTTCACTTTTTTTTACTACTTATAAATTAATTTGAAAATATCATAAATATTTAAACTAAATTTGTTTTCAAAAACATAAAATCTACAATTACCGGCAGTTTTATGGAAACACTAATTGCATGATAGAACATAGATATCTATCAAATTGAATATTTGATTAATCGATTAGATATAACGTGATTTCAAATATATTTTTAACATACATACATATATATATATACTTTTCAATATATCTCGTTCCTCAAATACAAAAGAAATATTTTAATATTTTCTCGAGCATAATGATTATCTAAAACATATAAGAGAAGAAGTTTATATAAAATGGAATTAATTATATTGAAATATATAATATAACATTCGAATAATTGTACAATTATACATATACTTTCGATTTATCAAATTCAATTAGTTAATAAAAATCAATATCCACCAATGATAAAATTTTAATGATACTTTCGATACTTTTTTTAAGAATATAAATAATCAAATAATTAAGTATACTTAACTTAATAAATGATAACATAATGAAGATAATATTATGAAGCATCATTTTGAATATCTTGCAATTTCTATTTGTTGCAAGATAACTCTTATGAAGACACAGATTCAAATCTATATTATAAAATAGAAGGAAAGATAACATGTTTTTAAAAAAAATACATATTTTAAACTGTGCTTGATTCACTCAAAATACGTGTTTAACTCTATGAAATGACTTTTGTAAAACTATTCTCCGGATATTCATCTTCTGAGGTTTCTGGTTCCGTGTTCAATTTACTAAAGTCTCGCGGATTTGGTCGTTTCTCCATTATCTTGAAATTTTTGTATCTTCTGTTTTCCAAAAGATTTGAGAGTCTAAAGTTTTCTCGCTTATCCGATTCCCAGCGCATTCGCTTGTGCATTATTAATAAACATCCTGTTTATAAAAATAAGCGGTATTAGAAAATTTCTAAAATAATAATTGATTATTTCATTTATTTGATGTAGCAAGTAATGACGTCATGATTCTTTTTATCATTATTTTCAAATCTAACATAATTATATTATTTATTACTATTATAATTATATCATAATATATTATCTATAATTTTAATCAAAAATACAATATATAAATAACATGAGATAGCATCAAATTTAAGCATTACATATTTTTAAGCATCGTGCACTATATACTATTATTAATACTTACACGATCCATTGAAAATACTGAAGTTAAATAGGATAATGCGCAGGGGAATAACAAAAAAACATTCTTGAAATGAAAATATATATATATTTCATTTACAACATATGGACCTTTAAAATAAATAAATAATCACATATAAGAGGTAGAAAATAAAAAATAAAATTTTTCAAAACTGAATATGTGAAAAATTCGTAAAGGAACCTTAGATTCTAATTTTCATTTTAGTTTCAAATACAATAAAAAATTCAATGACTATATAAATAAAAATTATTTATACATTTATGCGATCACAGAAAATTTAAAAGAATATTTACACAATATATATATATATATATATATATATATATATAAATTGTTAAATATTATTATAAATATTATTATATTGTATAAATAGAAGTCAAGTAAAATTGATGGAATATCAAATAAATGAAATTTAATTTAATTTAATTTAATTTTTAATTATAATTTGTAAAAAATCAAAAAAAATCACTTCCTTTAAATAAAAAATAAAAATATAAAAAATTTCGTAGAATAGATAGAAAATATTAATAATACAACATAATAAAAAAAATAAACATAATAAAAAAAAATAAAAATATAAAAAATTTCGTAGAATAGATAGAAAATATTAATAATACAACATAATAATGATTTCTAGAATATTTGTCAAAATTATATAAATATAAATATAATTATAGCAAAAATAAAAATTAAAATACTGTCACTACATCATTTAACCATTAAATTATATGATTATATAAATTACTATACAAATTTATATATAATTTTAATGTCTTGGATCAATAAAAAAAAAAAACATTTACTATTTCGAATATTTAGAATTGAGAATTTTTTTTTTTTTATAAATATAATTTTTTTAATAAAATAATAAAACATAAATAGTCAATATTTTTAAATTACTTATAATTAGTCAATACTTACAAAAACTTTTTGAATTTTATATAATGAAAAATTAAAAAAAAAAATAAATAAGAATAAAAGAATGATTAAAGATATTAAATTTAAAAATTTTTTTTTTTTTCCTAAGTTATTAAGAAAGTGATATTTTATTATTATAATATAATAGATTAATGAAATTAAGTACTTTCGATAGAATCACTACTGAACACTTGATTTCAGCAAAATTAATTAACATGCGTGCATAGCTATTATTCAATCCAAAATCAGTCAAATGATTATTTTTATTCGACTAGTTTTGAGAATTCAACCGCAGATTCATCATACTGAAACAATCTACCTCTTTTTTGACATCTTGCTACAACTGCAGCAATTGCTATACAGAGAGCAATAAAAATGACTGCTGCTGTAACAAGGGATAAGACTAATGTTGCTGTTGTAGTACCTCCAGAAAGATTGTTAATATCTCTGTCCGTTAAAGGTGCTGGTTCATGATGAGGATTTGCATGTACAATGGAATTTCCAATTTGCATTGACGTATTTATATCTATGAAATGAACGTTACATATATATATATAATTTCTTAAAGAATATATATATATATGTGTAATATATATAATAAAATATATATATATAATTTCTTAAAGAAATAAAAAATAAACAAATGTTATTCGTATTTTTTATTAATTTTCAAGATATTAATTCTTACCCTGAAAAAATTGATAAGCAGTACGTAAATTCAATTCTACTACATATATTTCTGAACCATTCTCAGATACAGCTATATCATGTGGTCTGTTCATATCTTGACTTGGACCAAATTGAGATGTTATATTTCCTGAATTTACATCAAGAATAAATCCTCGAATGCGTATTTTGTAATTCGGATCAGGACCATTAACCAAATAAAGTCTTTCTCTGGCATATGCTACACTATATATTCTTTTACCAATAATTGGATGCTTATATTCCTTATGGAAAGTTCCATTAGTTGCAAAAAAAGATAAAACTCTACCGTTTTCTCTATCAGCAAGAAAAAGTAAATTCAATTCACTAGCCAATGCTAAAGCATGAGGTACATTGAATACATTTGGTGAAAGATGAGTTAGATCATATATGTTTCCTATAATAAGTATAATAAAATATATTAATTATATTATAATTAAATTTAGATTCTTATTTTTCATAAAAATATTCTTTATATATAAATATATATATATATATATCAAATATAAATACCATCTATTTTCAAATGTCGACCCCATTGCAAAATTATTTCTCCTTTAGCATTGAATTTAATAATTCTAGAATTACAATAACCATCACTGACAAAAAAATCACCATTGCTTTCTACAGCAACAGCTGTTGGTTTACAAAATCGTTTTTCATCATGACCAGGTTCAAAAGCTTCTCCTAAAATCATTGAAGGTTTGAGTTTATTATTCTCAAGCAAATTATCAAAATTATGATTATTAAGAATTTTTTCTTGAATATTTTGTCTCTTTTTCAATTTAGTTATATATATATCTTTCATCCTTTCATCTTTCATCCTTGCTATATCTTTTGCATCAAATTTAAATACTTGGTGTAAGGCTACATCAGTAATCCAATAATTTCCATACATATCTATTGTTAAACCATGTGGTAAATAAAACATATTTGCACCCCATTCTAATAACTTTTTCCCAAATTTATCTAATAAAACTATAGTTTTTTCTTGAATTGGCTTTTCATTTCTATCAAATCTATTTGTATTATCAAATGTATTCCTGTCCCATACTCGTGATCCTCTATGAAATATTCCAATGTTTCCATTTGGATCTATGGATACTCCAGATATTTGACCAAATTTGATGTTGCTAGCCCATTGAGATTTCCATACAATATCTGTATATATTAAAACAATCAATAAATACAATCAAATATATTATTTAATATACTTTAAGTTTTCTTAAAAATATTATTAACTTTTATCAAATGTATCTGAAACAGATACTTTACTAGCTGAAGATTCTCTATCTCTTTCATCATTATCAGAATACTCATTAGAATTAAATTTTTTATCAAGCAAATGTATTGTTTTTTCCTATAACATGAAAATAATAAATAATGAATAAATCATTATAAAACATAACATAATATATTAATTATAAAACACATAAATATACACATATTTATTCAATCAATATATACTTTATCTTTATTTTAAATAGATTAAAATTATAAAAAATATTCATGTAATTAAAAATTAAAAATGATGAATTTTAAAACTTAAACTGATGTATAATATATATATTTACCTATTACTATAATAAATAATTTTGTTATTTGATAGCATTATATTTCTTAATTTACAATTTATATATTGATTGATTTTTTAATAATACATTCAATATTATTTTACCTGAAGATAATCCTGAGAATCTGCTTTGACAAAATTTAAAATAAATAAAATTGAAATGCAACAGGCTATATCATGTTGTAAATGCATCATTCTTAGACAAAACAATCAAACTCTTGTATTCTCAATTTCTTTATTTTATTGATATTTATAACACTGTTAGAAATTAATCACATTTCATAATGCAATTTTAAAAAAAAAAATTAATAATTAAGTAAATATAGGTCATCTCGAACTTCTTAAGCTTTTTCATACCACGCGTATGGTCATTGACGTATGCAACGGGGAATGAATAGCCATCTGACGGGAATTCAATGAAATATATTTAATAAATTCGATTATCTATAAGAAAGATTTGCTAATCTATATCATTTTTTTATATTACTTATATATCTAAAAACATACACGAATACATTCTTTAATAATACAAAAACTAAAATACTAAAATGAAATATATTTGAAAATTTAGAATAAATTGTATTCATAACTATTTTGTAAAACTTTTTTTTCTATGTTGTTTCTATGTCAATAGAAATGTACAAAGTATTAATATATTCATGAGATATTTATGAGAATCGATTTTAGTCAAAACAAAAATGTCTGTGAAGAGATATTTATTAAGTTTTAACTAATTTAAATTGATATTGAAATTAAAGCTATTCAGTTCATATTAATATTCTATATAATCTATTGATTATTTTTATTCTATACTTATTCTTCTAATCATATTATATGATTTAGAAATAAAATATATATACAGATTAATGCAAGAAATTTGAACATGTCAATAAAATATTAATTGCAAAAAAATGTAATTATTTATTAAGCCAGTTAATTGTTGAAACAAGCACATTGCAACAATATAATAATATTGATTTTTGAGATAAATTTAATATAAATTGTAAATATGTAAAAAACTATTTTAAGTATTTCGGTATAAATTGCGTACTAAAAAATTAATGAAAAAATAATATTTTTACAATTCAAAATTAAAAATTAAAAAATATTATATTAATATATAATAATATATTAATATTACATTAATAAGATTCGATTCGCAAATGAAAAAAAACCAAATCGTCAACAAAACGATCAAAAGAAATGCTCATGAATATCAATAATTACAATGATCGACATCCGTATGTTACATGCAGAATCTCTTGTTAAATATTCATTTCGATATCTATTTCATAATCGCTATTGTGAAATTAAAAAAAATCTATAAGCAAAGTTAAAAAACGAATACAATTCTTATCAGTTTCATATCGATTTTTCAAATTATATTTTTCTGAAACACAAATTATAATGCAAAAACGCGACATATATACCAAAAAATATATTGCTTATTTTATCTAATCCATTATTTAAAAAATGGCAAAACTGATATTTTGATTAAAAATTAAAGAATCAGAATCATTTCTAGAATAGTCCAAACAAGGAAAGCAAATAGTAAAAAAATATATAAATATAAAAAAGATAGATATTTATCATCTTAATAAAAATAAAACATTTATTTATGAAAAATATAATCGTGCTCGCAGCCAATTACTTCATTATTTCTCATAAATGATTATACCGTCAATATATACAATATATATATATATATACAATATAATGATATAATTATATATTGTATAATAAATAATAATGATTTTTCACTTCTTATTATTTAGAAGTGTCAATTAGTTGCAAATTAGAGATCCAGCTTAATTATAATATCCTATCCAATCTTTTTTTATGAAAATTTATTTCTTTTCAAGTTTCTTCTTCTGATATACTTTTATAAAACTTTTGATTGTAACATAAACAGCAAAAAAAAAAGAAGTTGTAAAACTGTTGTGAAAGATTAAATTTGAAAATAAAATCTAAATTATGAGATTTTTTATTTTTTTTTATTATTAATATTTATTATATTAATTTTATTATATTAATATTTTATTTTAAATAATTTTTTATTATATTAATATTTTACATTTCTATTATCATGAAAATAAAAAATAATTGATAATTAAAAAGACAAAAAAAAAAAGAAAAGAATATAAGAAAAATAAGCTCCTCACAAAATATTACTATTTTGCTCATTACTTATCTATATATATATATTTTACAATATGTTATTTCATCTACAAAATTAATATTTTTGATTATGTATGCATTTAATTTTAAATACATTTTATTATATGATCAATGATGATATATGATGTAATTTGCTTTTTACAACTTAAATTGAAACTTTAAACTGAGTTAAAAGATAAATTAATTTAAATATTTTGCATCTAATAGAGTAATGAATTTTTATTTTAATTAATCTATTTTATATTTTATTTTATCAATATAATAAATTGAAATTTTATTATTCTATAAAAAAAATTATTAATTAAAAGAGTATATATATATATATATATATACACATATATATAATATTTAATATTTAATATATAATATATAATATTATAATATTTAATATATATAATATATATAATTAATATATATAAAGCGATTGAAATGAAATTTCATGAATTAATTAAAAAAGTTAAAACTAATGAAAATACTATCAGGCAACTTCTCTATTAAAGCATATTTTTAAAAATACAAAACAAATATTCAAAATTTATGATTTTGGTTTCAAAATGTGTTTATCGCGAAATATTTTTTTGCATTAATATATTTTTAAACAAGAAAAATAAAATTTTCTTTATTATCTTAAAAATCAAGTAACTAAATTTAAAACATGAAATTTAAGGCACGAAATAAAAAATAAAAAATTAAAAATGATTTATTGCATTATTTATTATTTATTATTTATTCAAATATTTATTTCTAATTCATACACGAATATTCATATATTATATATTTATATTATATGATTATTTACACATTATGATATATTTAACGTTCATATATATCTATATAAAATATATTCTAATAAATTATCATAATTTAACTTAGAAAAAAAATGTTATTATTCACAATTCGTACAAAATTCTATATACACGACTAGTCAATTTGGATCTTTCATTCTATAATATAATTGAATTATTATACTTTTAAAACTACTTCGTTTTCGAATCTTCGTTTTCATACATATTTAGTCATTCACTATGATAATTTACAACAAAAATATTCAATTCTGGTATAATAATAATTACATAAATATGTATTAATTAAATAAGATTTAATAATCTATAATTAACTGTAATATAATATCCTATTAATAAAAATTTTATGTAATTACGCACTTTTCTAAAATGCTATTGTCACCATTTTCAATGACTAATAATATGCGCACTATATTGCGCACTGATTCGTCTCACTATTAATTCTTAGGGATTTTCTAATTGGCTAAAGCAATGAAAATTTTTTATTCACTTCAATTATATGATATTGAAATAATTATATTTTAAATATATATATATAAATTTCTATACATCGAATCTTACAAAAATAATCTGAAGATATAATTTAAGAATATTAAGAATATAATAAGAGTAGATTATTATAATTAATTTAATATAAAAATTATCTAAATTAAAAACTTAAAATTAAATATTTAAAATAAAAATTAATCAAATTTGAAAAGAATATGACAAAACAAAAATATATATAAACTATATTTAAATTAAAGAAATATAATGAAAGAATTTAAAACAAATTGAATTAAAATGAATTTGAAAAATAAATAAAAGAATTTATATAAAAATTATATAGAATATAATAAATTTATATAATAAATTACAATAAATACAATAGATTATAATAAGTGAATTTTTTATATTGTTCACAATTTGTTCAAATATCAACTATAGATTATATTAAAAAATCATTCACATCATTAAATAAACACATCACAATAAAAAATAGAAAGATAAATATTGTCTATTATTGTCTAACATCATCTAATGATGATCTTAAAATATTTAATATTATAAATATTAATATTAAAACCTAAACTAAAATTTAAAATAATACAATCTACTAGCAGAATGTATATCAAAGTATACTTATCTTATTCAAAACGAATAATAAAATTGAAATCTTTGATTACTGAATCAAACCGTGGTTGGCAATACCATAATGATCATTATTTTAATAAATTATTTTTATTCCAATATAAATTCGAACAAACAATTATTACAATTATATTATGATTATAACAAATTTGAATAAATAATTGTTGAATTTGTATTATGATTACATCATTATATTTCGGACTCATTATGAGAAGACAAATAGACGTATGGAGTATATCCATATGTGTAATTGATTTATTGTGTTTTAATCATCGTATGTGAACAATTTCATTTAGGACAGATTATAAATAAATCATAAGTTGTTTACATGAATGGCGTCCTAGTAAATAAAATATTTTATCAAATAAAATATTAAAGTATTAAGTTTTCATATTTTAATAATTTTAATAATTTAATATAACTTTTAAATCAGTATATTCCTAAACTTAAAATTAATTATTTTTAGATTCTATTCAAAATTATTAGAAAATATAAAAAAAATTTATAAAACAATTTTTGCTTCAAAGTAAAGTTTAATCATAATTTATATAATCATAATTAATAAGCAAATAATTTAGTATTTTTATTTATATTCATAAAAAAATAAATTTATGGATTTTTTAAATAAAGATTTATGAAATGTTATAGAATTTTTTAAGTTCTTCTCTATTTTCAAAAATTTAAGATGGCAACAATGCGTCTCTTCTTTTTTTTTAAATCCTGTATGTTTAAAATTTTTAGTACTTCATAAATCGAAAAAGTGATATTAAAACATTATTTTAAGATAAAGATATAATATTATTTTAAAACTTTTACGACATGATAGGCACATTAATCTCTAATACATATAAAACATTTCCGTATGATATAATTTTATAAATCTAATCAAAATAATAATATATATATTTTTAAAATAGGTTATATTATTTTACAGACGACTTGCATTATTTAGTCAAACTTTTTCATCAATTTTTACATCACCCACAATAATAAATCCATGGAATCTAACTATAAACAGAACTATAATGAGATATCATTTTCCACGTCCTAATGAACGTCGTCGTATTAAACGCCATGGTTGGATTACAAGAATGTCAACTCCCAGTGGACGAAAAATTCTCATGAGAAGAATATTGAAAGGCAAATATGTACTTAGTCATTAGATATTGTAGATTATATAGATAAATATATATGCATAGATGTATCATATATTATGTATATGTATACTTATATTAAAATAAAAAATCAAAAGTCAATAAGTATTATTTTATTTAAAGAAATAAATTATATTCAAATCATTATTTATATATTTATAAAGCTAAATGTGATTTATAATCCTGTTTTTGTATTATATGTTTAAATTCAAGTTGTTTACATGTCCATTCAAAATATGGCATTAAAGGAGCTTCAATTTCTAATGTTTTTCCAAAAAACTTTGGTAAAACTATTGATTTTAGATGAATATGAGTAGGAATAATATTCTGATTATTAGGTTTAATACATAATAATTTAAGAAGCTTATCATCCAATTTTAGCATAGGACAAGTAAGAAATGGATCGATTCTTACATAAGTATTTCCAACTTTTTGAATCTGAGATGCATAAATATTATCTCCTAAAACTGGACAATATAAAAATGTTGATGCAAATAGTCTAATTGCATGTTTATAATGGGTAGATGATTTTAGTTGAATTAAGGAACATAAATCAAGTATGGAATTGGATAATATTTTGTGTTCTGTTTTTAATATTTTTATCTTCTTTGATTTTTCTTCATTTTTAGACCATGATGTGGTAAGAATTTGCTGAAAATTTGAATATATATAATATATATAATGTTGAATATATATAATTTATTTTTAAAAAATTTAATATATTTAATAAACTTAATAAATTTACTTTTTTATTTTCAAAGCGAGGATTTGAAATTAATTTTATTCCTACACGGGAATAATTATTTGATTGTTTTGGTATACCAAGTGTAACTATCCAATAAGTATTTATGAAATATTCACCACGAATAAATGCAAGTTTTATAGCATGTTGAACATTTGGATTTGCTGCTAAAAGTGTAATACCACTCATGTACCTAATTAAAAAATTAATTTTTAAATAAAAATTTTATTTAATAAAAAATATATATAATAATATTAAAAATATTATATTAAAAATATATATAATAATAATATTAAAATATAAAATATAAATATAATATTAAAAATATATATATATAAAAATTATAAATATTAACAATTATTTTATACTTACATTTCAGGACTTCTGATTATGCTTAAATTTGGATAATTTAATTCTTTAGCAATATAAGGTAAAGCATCATCTAATGTATAATTAACACCATTAGGTACATTATTTTTTGAGTTTTTAAATGAATTTAAATTACTACGTTTAATTCCATATGGTTTATTTAATACTATTAGTCCATCTATAAAATCAAAACTAAAAATTGAAATATGTAAACATTAAATATTATTATATATCATTATCTTTATTATAAACTATTATTGTATAAGTAATATAATATCAATAAAAACATATAGTTGAATGTTATTACCTTTATTATAAATTAAATTATTTAGAAGATCATTTGAAAATTCTAGTAATGATTTCCAAGGATGAATATTTTTATAAGGATGATCTTTTATATAATTTTTCTTTAATATTTTTATATAAGATATATTTGTGCGTGCATATCTAAATGCATAAAATTTGTTTACTAAAATCCACATTTTAAATATATAAATTCAAATACAATCTTTTTTTCGATTTTATCTAAAAATATGGATTTACTGTAAAAATTTTAATTAATTAAATTTTAATAATAATATATTTAATATATTTTTTAATAATATATTTAAAAAATATTAAAATTTAAATTACATTTAAAAAAAGAGGTTATCTCATAACATATATAATGTGTAACATTAAAAATATAAAGATGGATTCATAATATTTCACTATATTTTTAATAAAATAGTGAATAATGAATAATTTAAATTTATCTTTAATTAATGTTATTAGAGAAATTCTAAATAAATTATTTGTTTTATTTAAATTATGAATAATATATCAAAATAATTTGAAATATATATATTACAAATGATTCATATATTTTTCTGAAATCACTATGTATATAATGTTTATAGAAACATTGCTTAAGACAGTTAGACAGCAAAATAAGTAAAGATGGCAACCACCGTGGATTCGGTTAGGGAAAAAGCCCTTCAAGATTATAGAAAAAAGCTTATAGAACATAAAGAAGTAGAATCACGTTTAAAAGAAAGTAAGTTATATTTATAAAATATTTTATATTTCCCTAATAGATTGTTATGAAAAAAAAATTGAAATACTTAACCTCAATATTATACACATTGATAATTGTTATCATAAAGATCTTTTTAATAAAAAAATTTTGATAAATTTTTATATCTTTCTAGTGAGAGAACATCTTAAAGACTTAACAAAACAATATGATAAATCTGAAAGTGATTTAAAAGCTTTACAAAGTGTTGGACAGGTATGTTATAAATTTTTTCTACTTCTTTTATAAAATATATCTAACAAAAACGTATAATATTTGCTCTTTAGATTGTTGGAGAAGTATTAAAGCAACTTACTGAAGAAAAATGTAAGTCTTTTTAATTAAAATTATGTGTTCGTATGATACACGCGCGCGCACACGCACGCGCATTATTACATCTATATATTATACATATATGTATATATTAATATATATAATTCTTTATAGTTATAGTAAAAGCAACAAATGGTCCACGTTATGTTGTTGGATGTCGACGTCAACTTGATAAAAATAAATTGAAATCTGGGACAAGAGTAGCTCTTGATATGACTACTCTTACTATAATGCGTTATTTACCCCGTGAGGTAAACTTTATATTTTGTTATAAATTAATATTAAATATAATAAAAAATCTTAAATATTTAGGTTGATCCATTGGTTTATAACATGTCACATGAAGATCCTGGTGATGTTACATATAGTGCAATTGGTGGTCTAAGTGAACAAATACGAGAGTTAAGAGAAGTTATAGAATTACCATTATTAAATCCTGAATTATTTCAAAGAGTTGGTATAACTCCTCCCAAAGGATGTCTCTTATATGGACCACCAGGAACTGGAAAAACATTATTAGCCAGAGCAGTTGCTAGTCAATTAGATGCAAATTTTTTAAAAGTTGTATCAAGTGCTATTGTTGATAAATATATTGGTGAATCAGCAAGATTGATTAGAGAAATGTTTAATTATGCACGAGATCATCAACCGTGTATCATATTTATGGATGAAATTGATGCAATTGGTATAAATATTTATAAAAAATAAAAAAAGAACAGAAAATATAAAAATATAATTATAATTATATTTTTTAATTTTCTTTTTAATTATATTTTTTTTTATACTTTTTTATACAGGTGGGCGTAGATTTTCGGAAGGTACAAGTGCTGATCGCGAAATTCAAAGAACTTTAATGGAATTATTAAATCAAATGGATGGTTTTGATTCTTTAGGCCAAGTTAAAATGATAATGGCTACAAATAGACCAGATACTTTGGATCCAGCTTTATTAAGGCCAGGTAGATTAGATAGAAAAATTGAAATCCCATTACCTAATGAACAAGCACGTCTAGAAATTTTAAAAATTCATGCTGGTCCTATATCTAAGCATGGAGAAATTGGTAAAATTTTTTATTTTTATTTGTCTAATTTTTTCATTTTAAATACAGTTATATAATAATTTTATAATTTAATAATTTAATTCAGATTATGAAGCAGTAGTTAAACTTTCGGATGGATTTAATGGTGCTGATTTAAGAAATGTTTGCACTGAAGCAGGATTATTTGCAATAAGATTAGAAAGAGAATATGTAATACAGGAAGATTTTATGAAGGCAGTAAGGAAAGTTTCGGATAATAAGAAACTTGAATCTAAATTAGATTACAAACCCGTTTAAAATTAACATATATCAATTATATATAAACGTATATTTAAAATTTAATTCATTTATTAAACAATAATATGAGAATTAATAAACCGATTTATTTTATTGTAATACTATTTGTATTTTACAAAGAAAATATAAAATTCCTATTAAATATGTATTTAAAATAATGTTGTTTTCAACAATCATATTTTATTTTCAATATAAAAATTACAATTTTTATAATCTTATGTTATTGATTATATCTTAATTATCTATTTGCAACACGCTTTTTTTTTCTTTGTAAATATTCTTGGATATTATCGTATTTTCTTTTATATAAAATTGAAAATAAATTTTGTTGAATATTATCCTTTTTTAGTACTTTCCAATAATTATTTAATTGATTTAATTTGTAATTTGTTCCATCACAGAGTATAAAACTGTTATCTTTAAATTTATATATTTTAAATCCAAATTCATCTAATATCCATAAATTATTTTCATAAAAATAAAATTCTATTGGTTCATTATCTGTAATTATTGATTGTATATATAATACTTCAATATTTGATTTTGATGTATTATTAATTATATATACTAGTAATAATGAATTATTATAAAAGCTCATTATAGCTAAAGATGAAGTTGTATCAAATGCTGAAAGTTTTAAATGTTTAACAGGTAAAACTTCAACAGATTCTTCTAAATTACAATTATGAAGTTGTTCATTGAACTTTTCAATATCTCTTTTAGATATTTTATTATGAAAATTAACACATAATAATTCTTTTCCAATCTTGTAATCCCATAATATAAACATTCCATCTCCTCCACAAGATACTAAAATACTTTTATCATGAGGTAATTCTAAAATGTTTGTTACAAATTTTGTATGTCCTAAACAGTAGGATACAATATTGTATGAATTTGGAAACATAGATACTCTTATTTTTTCATCTCTATCTGTTGTAATAATATATTTTTCATCTTCTGTAATTAATATATCAAGTAACATTGACAAATGTCCTAAGAGTAAAACTTCATTATCAGACTGTTTATTAGAAAAAAGATAAGCATCTCCTGTTTTATCTGCAACAACTATATTATTATTTGGAGTAAATTGCACTTTGCTAGCAGCTCTGGGAAGTATTTTATTTAATAAAAGATTCTGACTTTTTCTTTCATATAAACACAATTGTTTACGATTTGTACAAACAAAAAAATATTTGCCATCATTTGAAAACATTATATTAGTGATCATGTGAAAAGCTTCAATATTTATATTATTATGCACATTAATTTTTTTATCATTTATCAATTTAGGTAAAGAAATTTTTGTTTCCATATCATTCTTAATATTATATATTATAATTTGTTCATTATTACATATTATAACATCTGATTCGTGTATACAAAAGCTCATGATTACAAAATTTTTGTAAAAAAGATGCAAATAATTTTAATTATATATATTGTATATGATTAATCAAATAGTTTATATATACTCAAAAACTATTATATTATTATTATATTATATAAGATTTCAGTTAAAACGAATTCACTTTTTATATGTATTAATTATTAATATTTCTAAAAATCATCAACTTTAATTTTATGCAAAAAATTCCATATATACAATATGATATAGTAGTAGTATGTTGTAATATAAATTAATACTACCAACTTATAAGAAAAAATTATAAGTGAATAAAAATTTTAGAGAATCAAATAGTTTTAAAATAATATTTTTTAAACTTATATTATTTTTTTTTTATTTCTCATATTGTAAATTAAAATAGAATTCATTAAATCAATATTTTTAAAAATTAATGTTAATATAAATATATATATATATATATATATATAAGTAATATTTTTGTATATACTTACGTACATATACTGATTTCTAATCGTATCTAATATCTCATAGTATATGATTGTATTCTATGCAGTGATTAATAATTCTTTGTCTTAAAAGAAAAATATAAACAAGATGTTAATTAAACATATGAATATTATATTTTTTAAATATTTTTTGTGTAATGAATTGCAATAAATATTTATCATGTACAATAGTTACTAATAGTCATTAAAATGTATAAAAGTTATATGAAATGATAATGTGTTATTAATATAAAAGGTAAAAAGATTCTATAAACATTTCATTTTGATTCATATAATTATTAATTAAAATTTTAATTTAATAATTAATTTCTGTATTATTAAAATTAAAAACTATTAATATAGATTATAGATTAAAAATCTGACATTTGTAAATTTTTTTATTAATAAAAATCAAATAAAATCACGTATTTCGATATGTGGAAACCGTTTGAGGCTGGTAGTTCACCAATTGATTGGTGTGAACGCAATTATAGTATTTCTTCTAGTATTGCAGAATTTATGAATACGGTTTGTATTTTTGTATTTTAAAATGATAAAAATAAAATTTTTTATTAATAAAAATGTTTAATAAAAACTAATATAATAATTTTATGATATTTTTATTTACAGTTGAGTAATGTAGTATTTTTATTACTTCCTCCTGTTCTTATGCATCTCTTTAGAGACTATGGTCGATTTATAAATCCTGGTATTCATATAATTTGGTTTTTACTAATGATAGTAGGTCTTAGTAGTGCATATTTTCATGCTACTTTATCTCTTATAGGTAAGTAATAATAGATTATAGATTTATAAAACAATAAATAAATAAATAAAATTATTTATTATTTTATCATAGGACAATTGCTAGATGAATTAGCAATTTTATGGGTATATATGGCTGGTTTTTGTATGTTTCTTCCAAGAAGATATTTTCCAAATATTTTACACAATGATAGAAAACTTCTTGCTATATGTGCAACTTTACCAACTCTGATTGCAACTGGTTTATCTTTTATACATCCTGCAATAAATGCATTTGCTTTAATGAGTCTTGGTATACCTGCATTTGGATTTATGATCATTGAATTAAAAAGGTAAAATTTTCAATCAATGTCTATATATAACTTTATGATGTAATATCTAATTACATCATCATACATACTTTTCTTAAGGACAAAGTCAATGAGAGTTTATAGGTTGGGTTTACGATGTGGTGCTGTGTGGTTATTAGCAGTTGCTTGTTGGTTGAATGATCGTTTATTTTGTGATACTTGGTTGAACCTGAATTTCCCTTATTTACATGCACTTTGGCATTTGTTTATTTTTATTGCAAGTTACACAGCAGCTGTACTTTTTGCATATTTTTCTGTAAAAGAGGAAAAACCACAGCAATCACCAGTATTAAAATATTGGCCAAAGGATGACTTTGAACTTGGTATACCATATGTGACCATTAGAAGTTACGTTAAACTAGATATTAATACAAATATATAATTATTAATCTAAATTATAAAGGCTGTCTTGCATTTATTAGATAATGACAAGTGATTTAAAATAAAATATATTATTTATATTACTTATTTAAAAATTTAATTTTATATCAAGATTTTTACAAATAAGAAATTTATATACTATAATTTATATATATATATAATCTTTATATTAATCAATTTTAAAAAATAGATCTATTTTTTTTAAATTGGTACTATTTTAATTATTATTTTTTATATAATTATATGTAATTAATAAATTAATAGATATATTTAAGAAATTTTTAGAAGTGCAATATTAAGATAATATACAAAAATATCTTTCTTTTGAAGTGTGAATTCATATTACTGTAACATATTTGTATTGAAAAAAGGAATGAATAATAGTAATAGTAATTTAGTATTTTTTTTACAACCTTACACCATTATTGATAAATCTTTGTATTTATTTTTATTTTATAATATGGGTTAAGTAAAGATATTTTTAAATCAATAAACATTTCTTTTAAAAAATAAAATTTTTATTTAATTTTTATTTAATTAAATATCAAAAAAAATTAACAGTTTATTTTTTTTCTCCTCTATAAATAACGACATTCTTATCAGTTTCAAAAATCTTAACTTCATATAAAAGATCTGAATTTGGCATAATTTTTTTTAATTCATTAAAAACATAGATGGCTACATTTTCAGTAGTAGAAACGACATTTTTAAAATAAGGTACATCTTTATCCAAATTTTTATGATCTAATTGATCCATTAATACTTTTTTCATATATAATTTTAAATCTGATATATTCATGACCATACCTGTTATAGAATCTACAGGTCCACATACAGTCACTTCAACTAAAATAAAATGTAATAAGAATTTGTATATATTAATATAATAATAATAATTACCTATATAGTTATGACCATGTCCCCAATAATTGTTACATTTTCCGTATATTTTTTTATTTTCATCTTCAGTTAAATTTTCACTGAAAAATATTCTTGTTTATTAAATAGAAAATTTTTACATAGAAATAAATAATAAAATATGTATCTATATACTTGTGTAAACGGTGACAGCTGGATATTACTTCTTTTCTTGTTAAATAAGCGATTGGGCGTTCCATATATATTCTTAATATAATTTCTTAAAATTTTAAATATGGAAAATTCGGAAAAAATTATTCAAGATTATTCAAAAAATCACTCAATTATTATTCGTTTATTATAATTATATGTATATTTTAAAATTATTAATATACGATGTTTTTAGTTATTTAAATAATTTGTTTAGAAAATATATTATTAACTTATCTAAAATAATAAATGAACTTTGGATTTAAAAAAATCTTATCCCTTTAGCGACAGAAGTTTAATGCAAGATGAAATTATGTTACCATTTGTCACTCAATAGGTGGTATGAATGACATGTATTTAAAAAAGTTTAAATAATTTATAAACTTTATTCTTTTTAAAATAATAACAAATATACACATTGATATTTAATAATATGATTAAAATAAAAAAGTATTTTAGTTATACAAAATTTTTTCTTTTGATATATGAAAAAATCTTTGTATTATTTCTTTCTTTCAAATATTATATACATATATACAAAAAATCAAGAATTTAACGAAAGATAGTAAGAAAAAAATTTGTATTTTTGATTTTTAATTGATTAGTCAATATTTATTTGAATATTATTAATTATATATACAAAACAAATTATTTTTGCTTATATAAATAGAAATATATATTAGAAAAATTGCAAGAATTGTAGACCTCTGTTGGCATGTCAGATGAACTAGTAAATCTAAACGTCTGGGGATGATACCGGTAACGCCCTAGATCTTGTAACAATTAATCATCTCACGGAATGTGCAATGTTTAATGTATATTGATATAAAAAACACAAAATATCCGTTTAAATAATCATATTGAAAAATGGATAGTAAAGGCAGAAAGATTATTGTTTGTGATAACGGAACAGGGGTAAGGTTATAATTTTATTTTTATTCCTTGATTTCTATTTATCTTATATATTTTATCAAATTTTCTTCTTGTTACTAATAAGATAACATTATTTTGCAGTTTGTAAAATGTGGATATGCAGGAGCAAATTTTCCAGCACACATATTTCCATCTATAGTTGGACGTCCTATTATCAGAGCTGTCAATAAAATAGGAGACATTGATGTGAAGGTATATTTTCTAATTTTCCAATAATAATAATAATATAATATTTTATAATATTACATTATTTTAATTTATTATATTTTTAATTAATTATTTTAAAAATAGTCATAAACATAATCTATAATTAATATTTGTTGTTTTATATTTAGTATATATTTTCTATGTTATTAATATATATTGCATATTTTCTTTAAAATAAAATAAATTTTCATTCTTTTATATTTAAAAAAAAATTAAAAATTGAATTGAATATGAATATAAATATAAATATAAATATAAATAATCTTAAATTTGAAAAGTTTGTTTAATTAAAATAAAAATAAAATCATAATTTCTTCTAAATAGTTATTAATAAATTTACTTAATTTTCAGCAAGAATATTGTATTCGTGTAAGTCACTTCATAATATTACACTGTGTGCTCCAGAATTTAAATCCGATTGAAAATGCATTTGTCATTCATTAAGCTTGTTTACTAACTAATATTAAAATGGATTGTACATATTAAAAGTAAGATAGTATTTTTATAATTATTGGAATATAATATCTTTATTGAGGATTTAACTAATAATTGACAATCATAAAATTATATTTTTTATTTCAATGATTTGTAATATATCTAATGTATTATAAATTTTTTTTCTATTTATTGTTATTGAATAAATGTAAGAAATAAAATATTATAGAGTAGAATATTACAGAAAGATTGTATTTTTAATTATGTGTGAATTTTTATATATATATATTTTTAATATTATTTAATATATTTGTGCTTTTATATTTGCTCTCATAGGATGTGCTTAACATGCCTGTAAGTTTGCATTTTTTAATATTAATATTTACATTTATCAATATTATATTAGTATTATATTAGTATTAATATTATATTTATTAAAGAATTATTTTAAAGCAATAAATAATTTTCATATTTATTCAATATTTATCAATATTTATTCAATATTATTATATATAATTATAAATAAGATTCTTTTAATGTTTTATTTTATTTTTATTTATGTATATTATAATAATTTATTATATGATAATAAGAATATTAAAAAATTGAAATAATGTTAAATAAATTTTTGACAATTATAATTTAAAAATTTTATACTTAATTCAATTCTCAATTATTTCATCAAAAATTAAATGTGTGTTAAATTATTGAAATATTAACAATTAATATGTATATTTATATATTAACATATAATATGTATATTTCATATGAATGATAACAATGTATATAATCATATGTCTTTTATTGTTTCATCATAAGGACTTAATGGTTGGAGATGAAGCAAGTAAACTTCGTTCCATGCTAGAAATTAGTTATCCAATGCAAAATGGAATTGTTAGGTATGTGTATTAATATATTTAATCTATGTATATTATGAAATATTTATTAAAATAATTAATAGAAATTGGGAAGATATGTGTCATGTATGGGATTACACATTTGGCAAAGAGAAAATGAATATTAATCCTAGGGAATGTAAAATTTTATTGACGGAACCACCAATGAATCCTATTACAAATCGTGAAAAAATGATTGAGGTAAAATAAAATTATAATTATAAAAATTTTTTTAATTTTATTATTTTTAATCTTTCTAATTATAATTGAACTATTTTAGGTAATGTTTGAAAAATATGGTTTTGCTGGTACATATATTGCAATTCAAGCAGTACTTACTTTATATGCTCAAGGATTAATCAGTGGTGTTGTAGTAGATTCTGGTGACGGAGTCACTCATATTTGTCCTGTATTTGAAGAATATGCTTTACCTCATCTTACTCGACGATTAGATATAGCTGGTCGAGATATTACAATGTATTTAATAAAACTTCTCTTGTTACGTGGTTATGCATTTAATCATTCTGCTGATTTTGAAACAGTTAGAATGTTAAAAGAAAAATTATGTTATATTGGTTATAATATTGAAACTGAAGAAAAGTTAGCTCTTGAAACAACTGTTTTAGTTGAATCATATACTGTAAGTAGAATTTATTTAACATGATAAATATAAAAAAATGTGATAATTATGATAATAACTCATAAACTTTTTTAGCTTCCTGATGGAAGAGTAATAAAAGTAGGTGGAGAGAGATTTGCTGCACCAGAAGCTTTATTTCAGCCTCATTTGATAAATGTTGAGGCTCAAGGAATTGCTGAATTGGTATTCAGTACTATTCAAGCAGCTGATATTGATATAAGAAGTGAATTATATAAACATATTGTTTTAAGTGGTGGTAGTACAATGTATCCTGGACTTCCATCTAGACTTGAAAGAGAAATTAAACAGCTTTATCTTCAAAGAGTATTAAAGAATGATACTTCAAAATTAAATGTAATTATACAATATTTTATATTTTCTTTATAATTTTTTCTTAATAAATATATATCTTATTCTAATGTTTTCTTAGAAATTTAAAATAAAAATTGAAGATTCTCCGCGACGCAAAGATATGGTCTTCATGGGTGGTGCTGTATTAGCAGAAATTACAAAGGATCGTGAATCAGTATGGATAACAAGAGAAGAATATGAAGAAAAAGGTCTTAGTGTATTAAAAAAATTAGGTTCTTATGAACCATAAAAAAAAAATAATGAAATATATACAAAAATATATACTTTTTTTTTATATTTAAAGTTGTTCCAAAGTGCAAAGTTTTTATATTTTATATTCGCAATTCATTTATATCGAATTGTTTTAAGTATCTAGGTTGAATATAATCATATAAGAAGTTCAAAAAATACTAGATTTTTAAATTTTAAAATTAATTTTATTTAATATATATATTTCTATAAACGTATGATTATATTAGATTTAAATATTATTAAATTTAATTTTCATTAAATTTAATATAAGTTGACTTGAATTTTACAAAAACCAAAAACTATTTTTTGGATATGTATAATGCATAAACATATTTGTGAATGATACAATGTAAATATATTAATTATTAATATTTTTTTTATATTCAATGAATACAATTTTTGTCAATAGACTTATATTATTGTAAAAAATTGTATTGTTTTAGTTTACAATTAATGTAATGTCCAATTTAAATATTGTATCCATATAAAATTTTGATTTGTTAACATAATGGCTAAAATTAAATAATTAGATCTATGAATATTATAATGATATTTAACTTTTAATTTATTTTTATTCTACTATACATAAAAATATTTTATATTATTTTAGTAAATTTTTATATAATTAAAATTTTTGTTACGAGATTTTCTTACGAGATGTTCGAGTTTTAAATATTATTTTTTTATATAATGCTTTTAAGAAAAAGTATTTAAAACTATAATTTTTAAATAAATTATATATTTTTAATTTTGGCCATTATTTCAATTTACAATAGTTTATAAGAGAATAGAGAAGAATTTTTATATCTCTATATTCTTCTTTGATATTTTGAATCTGAAATTATTGAAATAAAATTCAGATTTCAATATACTAAAAGTAAAGAATATGAGACAAAAAAATATTTTATATAAAAAATATAAAAAAAATGTACATATACATATATAAATATATGATTTTTTTTAAATTAAGTTGAATAATTTGTAGAAATAAATTTATTTCTTATAAAAATTCTTTGACTTTTAATTTCAAAATTCTATATTTTTTCAATTACATATTTCATCATTAATATGCACATCAAAAAATTTTCGTTAATTATAAAAAATATAAAATTATATATAAATAAAAAAATATCAAATTATAAATATATAATTTTCACAATGATAGGAATGAACAAAAATTAATGTAACAGATGCAAAATAATTACAGCAAATCTACAACAGTCTTTATTATGTTTTCCCATTTGACCTTTATACTGTATATCAATGTATACATTTTATGTATAAATAAAAATAACAATATAATTTGTATTATACAGTTTCATATTTAATTGGATATATAATATAACAATAGATAAATGTGTATATATTCAATTTGTTAAGATTTGTACAAGTGACTTGCGACAGCATTCTGTATAACAATAAAGTAACAAGCTGTTATTTAAAGGAGTAAATATAATTTACAAACAGTGTTTTAGCGCATGCGTTCCGCGTTATAAAGTTATTCTTGGAAGTATATGTACCCTTACGCTTTAATAAATCACTTTCAATGTAACAGTTTATATTCTATTTTACTAAGCTGTGAATATATACATATATATTATAATATTATAATATATATGTATATATATTACACATCAATTAAGCAAATAAAAAAAATAGTATATAAAACACTTTCATTTATAGTTAGGAGAATTTTTGTTTTTGAATTTCTATTTTTTAATTTCTGATTTTTTCTTTGATATATTAATACATTAAGAGCATGGAAATGCTTCGATGTAATAGATGAAGAATTGGATGGAAAATATGAAAATTCTATCAATTATTCTTAGAATATAATTGGTTTATCCTTACACTGCTCAATACAAAAGCTAGTGAAACGTTTAAGGAACTTTGGATACTCCCTTTTATAAACAGCACGTAGAACAGATGCTGGAGCCCATCCACCAGGATTAACTATAGTAAAAATAAAAAGAAATAAAAATAATAAATAATTAATTATAGAAAGATATATATTATTAGTATATTAAATGAAAAATGATATAATACAAACCAACAGAACAATAAGTTATTTTGCATGTTAAATTTTCTCTTTTTATTTCTTCTTCATCTTTTGGAGGATCAATGAAAGTTTGACACACAAGGCAAACAGTTAGATAAACCCTTACACATTTTCCAATGTTTGGCTATAAATATTTTAATATATATATATATATATATATATATATATATATAAATGTTTATATATATGTATATATATATAAAAATTGCTAAAATTGTATAAAAATTTACCGGAAAATCAGGGAGTTCTGTACTATGATTACAAACTATCCATAAATCGTGTGCATCGGGATCTTCATCATCAGAAACTCGACGCATATGTGACCAAAATAACGCGTCTCTCTGACTTGCTGGCCAAATTCGCTTATGCGTTTGTAGAAATATTAAAGTGTCTTTGGAAATGTGTTCTACCACAGTCATATCTTCAAGAGTAGCTTCCCATCCTGTTCTGTATTCAGGGCTGAAGAATATTTCGCAAACTTCATGACCCGTAACTCCCTTTACAACATGACAAGCTTTCAAAGGATCTACCACTAAACCATCCGCTTCTTCTTCGCGTCTGTACATTCGCATATCACCATCTTCAGCAAATAATTGCCATCCACCAGCTCCTACTTCAAGACGTGCATAATGCAATTGTTCCATTGTTATTTTTTCTATCTAAAAATAATAATAGTAAATCAAATAATATAACATTGTAACTTAAGTAATTAATATATATAATATATTTAAAAACAAATAATTACCTCTGGCCAAAGTCTATGTTTAACTGCTGACATGATAGGAGTAGTTAAAACTGAAACTGATTTTTGTTTCAAACGATCTCTCAGTTGATTCTCTTCATCAATTTTATCTAATCCAGTTTCTACTGCATCATAGAATTCTTCATCACAGAGAGCACTATGTGGACCTTCCTTAAACATTAAATTATTTGTTTACCTATATTATATATTTTTTTTAAATATACTTTGTTATTTTATATAATTTAACCTCATAATCTGGACCTCCATGAATAAGAACTCTAGGTCTTGGAGAATCACTTTGTTGCATTGTAACTTGTTCTTTTAGAGCTTTGTAAAGTTCTTGCACTTTTCGCTTTCTTTCAACTTCTTTTTCCCATCTACGACGCCATGCATCTTCTCGTTGTACCATTAATTCCACACAATGTTGTAATGTTGCTAAAACACCTTCGCTTGTTGCTTTAAATGTTATTGCTTCACCCTTAAAGTCTACAGATTGTTCAGCTGGATTAAACATTGTCTCAACTTTATTTTCTGAAACAAATATTTTCTACTCAATTAGAAATAAAAAAAAAAAGAAACAAAAAATAAACAGTTGTTTAAAACATAAAAGAAAATATAAAATAATTGAATATAAAACAAATGAATATGTATAAATAAAAATTATTACTTTATATACCTTTCATGGAAATATTTTTAGCATTCTCTGCACAATTATCAAAATATTTTTGTAAAGTATCAATTTGTTTGATCAAAATATCTCTGAAAGTTTCGAGTTCTGCTAATTTCTCTTTTAATCCTCTAACTCCACGTTTAGTAAAACTACCTGCACTTGTAATAGACTGTGTATTTGATATAAGTGAAATGGCACTACCATGTCGTTTCAAACTATTTTCACTTCCATAACCAGATTCTGACTATATAAAATAAACAAATATATTTTTTAATTTACATTTATTAAATTTATACATATTTAATATATTTTTTAATTTATATAATAAAATTTCAATACCTTATAAGATTTTAAAACATCTACCCAACGTTGCTTTTCCTCTGGATTACTTGCCCTTAAATACCATACTAAGCAATCATTTACAGATACATCAAATCTACATTCATCAAATTCATGAGCCTAATAAAACAAATAATATAGAGTAATATCATAAGTTATATAAAAATAATCAAAGAAAAGTTATATAAATTAATTTAAAATTATGATAAAATTTCATACTAATTCATACCTTAATATTAGCTTTATATAGACTTATTGAACCTCGGCATCCAAATCCACTGTCCTGTTCAGATTTGTAATAAGATAAAGTACCATCTTTGAGAACAATAAATCTAGTTTGCCAGCCATGTATATAATTTGTCCATTTGGATAATGTACCCTGAAGTTCTGGAACTACAACTCCATCCGAACCTTCTTCATCTACATCATCAGCATCTATCTCTCCTTCCATACATTCGATATCGTCATTGGCAAGTCGAATTGTTTCTATTTCATCGGCCATTCTTACGAGTGAATTTTACTTTTGGAATTAATTAGTTTTAAAATAAATTCAACATACCCAAATAATATTTTTAAAGTTATCCTAACGCGGAATAATCTATCAATAATTATTCTAATGTAGTTTAAAAATTCCAAAATAATAGACTAGTAATTGTTCACAAAATAAGTTTCAGAACATATTAATCATTAATTATCATACGTAATAATGTAAAATGTTTTATCAAATAAACGAGACATCAACAGCTTGTATTTTTTGGCAAATAACAAGACTAAGTAGCAAATAGAAAATCAACAGTTTTATTTAAGCAATATTTTCATGAGCATTATATATTTACTATAATCTTTTTTGATTGGCCACATTCTTGAAAATTGAATTTTTTTATCATTCTTAAATATCATTTATTTTTTTAAGTTAAATAAATTTTTTTTTAATAAAAGATTAATATTAATCAATAATAAAAATATAAGAAATATAAAATACAATATTATGTTTTTTTTATTATAAAAAAATTAAATTAATATAATATAAATATCGATCATGAATATCGATAATTATCGATAATTATCGAAGAATATATTCTGATTCTGATTTAAAATCTATTTAGAGATTGTTCAGTAGATTGCCGTTGATACACGTGAAAAAATTATGGTTGGATTTATAATTTTATCCTTAAAAATAATGTTTTTCACGGTTTTTTTTATTCTATTTTCTATGATATCAGATGCCACAGTACATAGGTTAAATGTTCCCAGAGTCTTATTACCAGTATTTAATGATTTTGCTGTAAATTTTACACTTGAAGTTACTGATGGTGCTTGTTATCAATGGTAATTTCTTTTTTTCATAATTTATTTATTGTTATTTTATTGTTTATTTATTCAAAATTTTTATAATGAAGAATATTTTTATTATTAAAATAAATAATTTTTATTT